ATGCTCCAGAACTTCAAACATCTTTGGGCCATACTGAGCTCAGGAATCCGTTTCAGTTCTACTTCACAGAGATTCAGTTTTCTTTCAAAAGATTCAAATACAGGTGGTAATTCAAAATGTGATACTTTAGCTCTGATTATTGGAAACTACTAAATTCTTTATTACAACTGAAATTCAAGATACTTGTGAACTCATGTTTTATGTTCAGATACAAAGTTATGTTCAGCTGCAAAGTAAAAAGCAAACTCAAACTAAAAGCTATTTCTGTGATGATGCTTGACTAAGCATATTATAGTTGATCAATTCACGAAGGCGTGTGTGAGGCATATGTACCTCATGGTTAACCTTACTTCTCGGATTTCAAAGAGCTCTCCAAAACCTGAAATACAGCAGAAATCCCAAAGACCTTTTGCTGTATAATCGTCCTCTGATGAGCTCTGAGAGGGAAGAAACCAGAACAGTGCCTGTAGAAACTTTTTGGCAAACACTGATTTTGATAACATAAGTTTACACTCCCCCATTAACACTAGAACAAAGTGTGGTAGCAGAGCTGCTGAGGGGACCTTCCCCACACCATCTTCAGAGAAGTCTGTGACCCAAAGCATCTCAATTTTTCTCTGCTTTTCGTAACATTTTAAATTGCTGTTGTGGCACTGAGCAAGAACCTCAAGCAGCACACAGAAGCCCATGTGTTTTGCTCTCTAGACCCATGTCAGGTTTACAGCAATCACTAGTACTGCCTCATCATGTTTTGGGCTTCTCTGGATGCTGGCTGGAAAGAACAAAGGTGACTGGGAAAATTATTTTCTTGCAAGGTGAGAGGAAAGGGCAGAATGACTTGAAATGTCTACGGAAGGCTGCTTACGGAAGAAAAGAATAGAACTTCCGAAAAGAGAACTGAGGAGCACTTTTGTGAAAGACTCTTGTCAAAGTAATGGAGGTAATGCATAGAGGACTTTCAGGAAAATAAATAAAATATTTTGATAACTGGCCATTGCTTTCTTTAATCTTAAAAATGGAGGAAATATAACATGTTAAAATAATTTTTAATTTCAGCCCATTTCATCTGCTCCTAAAAGCTTCAGAATAATTTTGGAGTACCATGGAGATTGATGCTCCAATGACACTACTTCTTCACATTTTTCCTGTATGTTTGTGCAAAGCTTACGTTCAATGTAGGCCACAAAAGTGTATACTTCTTGAACCTTAGTTGTGTTCCTAAACACACCTGATCTGGCCTACCTAGCTCAGTCACACCATGAAAATTAATGGTGCATCCAAGAATTATATCATGTTAAAATTTACTACAAAACATGCAACCAGAAAAGCATTCCTTTAAGCAATTCCTCTAATTCCTTAAAGAGTCAGAACTTTGGCCTCCTGGAGACTTTACTGTTTCAGTTGCAGGAACATATTCAGTGGTAAAGAAACACCTGTCAGCAGTATATGGGTCTGATGTGAGACGTACTGAGTTTGTCAATACACAACTTGGATAAGCAGATTTGCATTCTGGCAAATGCCTCTAGTTCCCAAATGGTACTTTAAACTGGACTAGGGTACATTTCAAGACCTCAGGGGGCTCTGCTGCCCCACATGGATCACCTCTTCTCTTAAATTCAGATGTGGTATAACACTTTGGATTTTATTTTTCACGTGGAACTCAGCTATGACTAGCAGTGGTGTGTATGAAATAGCCGGTAGGAGTTGACCAGACATTTGTAATGCTAGTTTGTTTTGTCTACCACGAAATAAGACAAATGTAAAAGTATTGGCTACCCACAGCAAACATGTCCTTGGCACATGTTTTGATGGCTGCAATGCTTTCTGTTTCAAAGCAATGTATCAGTTTTGAAGCCGCCCCAGGTGCAGCTTGCAGATGGCATCTCATCACCCTGGATGCAGTTCCTGTCACCCCACCTTTGGCTCAAAGGTTTGGGATGCAGGGTTCGTGGAAACTCGGCATACAGAGCCAGGTCACAGATGCAGCCTGGCATCAGGGTCCAGAGCAGGCAGAGAAGAAAGGAGAAGTGCAAGGAAGCACTGACAAAAGGCCAGGCCCCACTTCAGCCACTGCACTGGACACTTGGTATCCAGTCTGGGGAGAGCTGTATTCCCTCATCTGTCAAGAAGAGAGATTAAGCCTGTCTGCCGCTGCACTGCTGCGTAACTACTCTGAGCACCCTGAAACAAGTGGCCTGACTTCAGAACGGTGTCACCATCCCTTAAATGCTATTATCAACAGTTCTAATGCAGTCACAGGCAAGGTAGCTGCTACCCAATATTAGGCCGCAGAAGCCTTAAATAGTGTTCAGCAGCCCCTCTGAGCTGAAAATACACGAAGAGCAATACTGCTGCTGTGAAGGAGATAACCATCTAGAATGACATACCAGACGAAGAAAGACAGCCCCATTTTAAAGCAGGGGAACTGTGACAAACATATTTCAATAAAAACGTAATCATCCAAAGAGATCATTATGCACACCAATCTGTTTTCATAACTAGCTTGAACCAAGACTTACATAGGAGGTTTCTAGTAATGTTTGGAATTCAGCCCTGGTCTTTGGTGTTTTGGTCAAACTTTTCATTCTAAAATCTATTTCTGTGCCACATTACCTTTTTCTACATAATCCCAGAATCCGCAATTATCTCTGCAAGGACCAGAAAGTCTTGAAAGTCTACTATTCCTGAGGAAACAGTAAAATCAACTAAACAGTACTGTACACTGCAAAAGGCAGGAGTCTTAAGCAAGGGTAGAGGTATTCAGTCTTCTTGAGCACCGTGACATTTCATGTATAAACATTGTGTACGCACAGTAGAGTAATGCTGCCCCACTTGAGTCATAAACTAACAAACAAAGCTAACCTGCAAGTTCCTGTGAAGAGTGCATAACCACCTGCACAATGAAGGGTAACAAAACCAACAGGTCACCACTGACTTGCAAGAAATATAGGAACTAGTAAGTCCTGGTACAGCGAAATAACAGAGCTGATGCTTAATGGACAAGCTACATGATTTTTAGTCCTATTCTTCTTCAAAACACCATAAAAAAACCCCTACACTACATTTACATTCAATGTTTCACAAGACTAATTATACCAAAGAATACAGCCTTCTGCAATATGAAATTTTTCTACACATTTTCTCTTGCTCACATGAAAATTCATAATCCTCTTCCAAACCCTTCTTCCCTCATCTTTGCAGGAATGAATTAAAAAAAAAAAAAAAGGGGAGGGGAGAGTGGAGGAGTGACTTATGTCTATCCTCCTTTTCTTTCTGGTATGTGAATCCATCCTCCCATGCTCACTCTCACTCCTTCATCCTGCCGCTGCCGGGAAGTGGAATCACTCTGGCAGGAAGGTCTGTGGGGGGCCAGGCCACCTCTCAGAGTTCCTCTCGCACCAGCCTTGCCAAGCCAAGTTGTGCCTGGCTTTCCGTCACTGCTCCAACCTGCTCCTGACAGCATTGCAAAAGTTCTCAGCCATGTCAGACTGTGGTATTACTCTTGTCCTGCAGAAGTTCCTACAGAATCTACAGTGAAAATCAAAAAACTGTTCCCCTCATCCACACTGGATTTACACCACTTCCCAGCTTAGCAGGATTCTTTTCTTGGTTCCATTTTTCTAAAATCACCAGCATTGTTTCAGTTTATAACAGAGAAAATGGTCTTAAAATAAAAATGAAGAATATGTAGAGTTTCCAAAGACACTGAAAGAAAAGAAGAGAGTGTAAAGATTTACCTGTGACTCATTCCTTGATTAGAAGAATAAAAAGTTGCAAAATAGGAGGGAGGCGGCGCAGGTGGGACAAAATCATCAGGATCCAAATTGTTATCTTGGTCTTCAACCTGACGTTCAGCCTAATCAGATGAAACTTATGTTAAAAACCATCTGAGATATAAAAAAATGCTGAACTGTGTAATCTAGTAATACTGCTAGTACCACTGTTTACAGCAAGCAATGCCTTGCGCTCACTTACTGTGCAAGATCTTCTTCTTGTAAGAATCTGTAAGTAATGCAGGGCAGCCGCTATCAAGCAAATTGTGGTGGTAAGAACATTTAGGGCACAAAGAGCGAAGAGAACTTTCTGAAGAACAGGAAGATTATGGAAATTAAAAGATTCAATCAAAGTATTTGTAAATGTGATAATGATAATGACGATGATGATGATGATGATGATAATAATAATAATAATAGTAATAAACCAAAACCAAACACAGAAAACACATAGATGACCATAACAATTAGTTTTCAGAAACATCTATGATGAAATCTTCAGGACAGGTAATCTCCAAGATTGGAGTCACTTGTAAAAGCTTGGTTTTTTCGCTATTGTGTGTCCTGACAGAGCGATCCAGAAGGGTTTAATATCACTCAGATGTGATTTATAAGCCATCTATTCATCCGAGAATTCCTCTCAACTCTTCTGCAGGAAATAGAGATGTGAGATAATCACCATTAAATGTGAAAGCACTTATATTTGAAGATGATGCTGTTTGGAAGTTGTATTTTAGCAGTTTGTAAGCCAAGAAAGGCTGAAAAGGTCAAAAGACCAATGAAGGCATCAAATCATTACCTAAAAAAAATTTAAATTTACAATTAAAATTACATTTAAAAATTACATTTAAAATTTACACCACATTTATGCATGCAGTCTTGTCTTAATTCAGCTGTAGTTCTGGTTGCATAAAACACAGAATGGACAAGAACTGCATATTGGATCAGCAATGCACTGGTCAAAACCCAGAGATGAAAAAAACCCCAAACTGTTACAAATCCATGAAGAGTTTCTGACCACTGGGGAAGACCAGAAAAACAACAGAATTTTTGACACTAAACACAGTCGTCACCTCAGCACTGCACACACAAGGGCAGACATTATCAAAGCAGTCATGTTAAGCAGTGTGCGCAGGGTACCTTGAGGAGAAGATGAGCAGCACTGCATGACTTCATGTGGTATAGGGTCAGCGCGGCCTCTATTTCCGGGCATTTAGCGAGTTGAGATTCTTCACAGCAGAAACAAATCTTGGTTTGATCCACATCAGCCTTTAAAAAGACAAAACTTTTTCATTTATTCTCTGTTTTATGCAACATTTTTAACTACATAGTATAGAGCCTATGTGTTAAACTATACCTCTGACCACAGAGTGGACTGGAAATACAGGCTTGTAAAATGAAATTTGTATAGTTTGGTACACCAATGATTTTTGCTTTATAAAGCTATATTACTCATACTTCCTATTTGAAAGGAAGCATTACTGATAAGCTCAAGACATTTAAATACAACTTAGCTGTAATCAAAGCTGCATTGATTACTAAGCCATTTTAGTATCCTTGCTCCTTCAAATGCATAGCAGCCTGGAAATCTTTTCTTTGACTGACATGTAAGCCACTGTATATGGAGTGCATATGTTTTCTTTGATTCATGAGTATATTTTGCATCTCTATGGACAGAATGAAAACCACAAATAAAATTTCAACTCACTCAAATCAGTAATAGTTATGTCTTGCCTGTAACTATTGTACTATTGCCTGTAACTTTCAAATTAATGTTGTCATCTTAGTTTTCAAACAGAAATTATCTCTAGATACAGAAAAATCTAATTAGGGTTTTAGCTGTCAAACTCTCTAGAGTCACAGTGTCAAAAGTCTTCCACCTACATAAACCACTCTACAGAATAATTAATGATTTCAGAAATGCCTTCTGGCTGTAACCTGTGCTTCCAACCACTGAAATTCCTGAAACTTTTAACCATCTCATCTGGAATAACATTAGCAGTTCTCAGTGCTGCTTTGGTATATTGCTATTGGATGAATCTGGATTGTCAAGTGCTTGTAATCTTGGGATCACTGCAATATACCTCCTGGCATGTTAAGAAACCAACAATAGCTTTCTGGAAGCAATAATTATTAAAAGATCTTTCTAATAACCCTTAAAGTCCTTCAAGTCTTTACACACGATCATCTTTATCACCAAGTGACCCTGTATCCTTCAATTTCAATTATTCCATGGTTTCTGGTTCATAAAAAACACATTATTCTACTTCTTATGACACCCATCTGAGAAAAATCTTTTGCATTCTGTCCTTTCTTGTGTGGGTTGCTTCTTCCTCAAGTAGAAGTGTTCTGAAAAGCTAGTATGATTTGATCTGCCTTACTTTTTTCCTCACAGTTCCTGCTGTAAGGTATCAACACAAATTGTCCTCTGCAGGTGAGGCAAACCAGGAAAAATAATCCCACCCACAGATTATATAGACTGAGCTTTTTATAGGTAGGTCACCAGAACTCACTCAGGCTTTCTTCAACAGTTTTATCTTTGTCACATTATTATTAAAATCTTTGTCCAGCGTATAATGCTAGCAAGAGGGATTTTCTAAAGATATATTTGGGATTCCCTCCTACATGCCCCCATAAAATTGTCTACAAAGCCCTGTACTAAATGAGCTGTCTTCAGACCCTGAAGACAGAGGCCAGGTTCTCAATGAAGTCAAACAAAACCATTTCTTGGCTAAGTATGCTCTTCTATTTCAGAGTAAAACCTTTCAAAACATACCCTTTTGAGGTCTTCAGCTTCAGGAGCTGAACACCGTATGAAGAGTCCAAGTCAAAACACCCAAGTGTTTAGAAACACAGACCACAAAAACACTGCTGTGGATTTCAGTGAGTCTGTTCACAATCTGAACTGAATCAGTGCCTGAAACAGGTTTCTTTTTTTCCCCACCACGCTGTAGCTGTGTTACTTGCATCTCTACATCAGCACATTTTGTGATCCCAGCACATCAAGCCTACATGGCATGTCGTGAAGTATGTGTAAATCGGTACGTCTGCTCACCAAATGGCATTTGGGTACACTGGACACAAATTGGAGGCCTTGACATCCC